CCTTTCAACTTTTCCACCCTCCTGTTTCTCTCCCTGTCAGCTGGTACAGAACTACGAGATGACGTTGATAGAGGAGCCGGGACCCATCAAGTACGAGGTGTTCCCCACCACTGACAAACCCTTGAGAATCAACTTCAGTCCCAGAGGCAAAACAATGTGATTACTTGACTCTGCTGATCGACTTCTTTTGAACAACATTTTGTCCTAAATGTTAATTTGTTGTAAAACTTGAACGTCTCATTCTACCCAATTTAGATAGTTCACGAGGTCAATAGCTTTGCCCCTGGTGTGTACCAAAAACCAGAGCTGGCTGTGGTCAGCCCTCCCGACAGAAAACAGTGATGCTGTATAAATCATCTTCTTCATTTGTGTGAAGGCAAAGGTGTCACGACATGGTGGAATCAGGCGCTCGTCAATTTTTGAGCATGTGGAGTTATTGGTATCGTGAAAGTTGACTTATTTTTCTCGCGTCTAATAAAATAAATATCCATTTATCGTAATCAGAACTCAAGATATTTGCGATTGGAGGAAGTGAGGTCACCTGGTTTCTGTGATGAAATTAGCGAAAAAACGGTCACCAAAGTTTGCTAACTCCAAAAGCTAAAGAGTCTCTGAAAACTAAAAAAGGACATCTTTTATGCCTTTATTCAATTTCTTTCAGTAAAATTCACTCGGAAATGTGTTTTTATATGGACATAAGAGAGGTTAAGCAACACACACACACAAAAAAAGAAAAACAAAATTCAATAAAAAGTGTCCAAACTGGCGGAAAAAACGCCTGTTTTTCTGATTTTGTTATTTTGACGAGCGCCTGATTTCACCACGCTGCCTCACGGCAGGCCAACTAAAAACCGCGTGCAGGCTGGAGTGCAAATCGGAAAGATAATTATAGCTTCTGTTCCGTCACTACTGGCGGAAGTGTTTGGTCAACATTTTATATATCTACCCCTGATGGTGATTGAGGTTAACTTGGCTAGCATAAGTCTGAAAATCGCTACCCCAGAATTATAAAGCTCTGCCCAGTGCCAAGTTTTGAGAAATTTATTGACGTCAAAGATTTGGAGGAGTTTCACATCATTTCAAGCTTTTTCGAACACAATTCTTTGATCATCTTGATAATGACTCCGAATACTTTTGATACGGTTCAAAACTACTAGCTCCATTGTTTTCTATTAACAAAATAGAAGAAATACAACAAAAAAAAAAAAAGGAAAAACACCCCCCCCCTAAAAAAAAAACCCCCAACAACAAACAAACAAACAAAAACAACTCCCCAAAAAACAACAATACACAAACAAAAATCCAGCATAAAACAAACAAACAAACAAACAAACCCCAACCCACCCCCAACTTTGTGCCCTGTTCGTCTGTTGAATTGACTTTGTAAGACTTACTGTAAAGCTCTTGCTGTCGGTGTATAATTGTTGTTGTTTATCATTACTCGGGAATTAATAATGTCGTAATGCCTGGATATACAGATTGTACTTTCCAATTTGGTTTTCTTGTTTAATAAAAATTAAAAGATAATCTAAAGATAAACACCTAGTATTTCTAAGTCAAGTTGCTTTTGGTGATTTGATATTGATCTCGTTGATTTGACCGCGGGTACTGTGATTGACTGTGGAATATCGCCTGCCGATGTGGTGGCTCAATTCAAGGGAAACAATCACTGGAAATTACATTACTTAGATATCATCGTTTTTCTCCCTTGCACCCTTGGAGGCACGTTCTAATTTGGGGTCTGATTCGCTGATTTCACTTGGTTCAATAACATACTGCGAGGCTAC